CACCAGCAGCTCCTCGGGGGAACCCACAGCCATCTCAGAAACCAGTGAGCGAGCAAGTGAGCAGGCTGAGCCAGGACGGGGCCAGGGAGATGCACTTAGCGGAGGGACTCACTGATGGCTTCTAGAGGGTGGGGAGCTCTGAGAAACAGCCAGGTCCCAGCAGGCCCTGGATTCTGTTTCTCACTGGTTGTGTGTGGCGAGCCAACAGGTGACTGTGAACACCTCTCTCAGCTGTCAAGGTGATGGCTGACTCAGCTGCCCTAGGAAGTGCGCGGAGCCCACCCATCACAGCCCCTCAGGAAAGAGCCCTGTGTGCACCACCTATGCTCACACCAGCGGAGGCCCTGTGTGTTCTTTAGTGTCCAGTCCTCGGCCTCTGGTTCTGGGGACAGCAGCCCTGTTCACATGCAGTGTCTGATAGGAACCTGGGGTTCCTGAAAGGACGCCACCACACCTGCGGGTTCTCTCCTGCAGGTTCATGGCCTGGGAGACCCACGTCCTGGTGAAAAGCGAGTCTTCCTCAGTCACCTTGTGCCCAGAGCAGGAGGTGCTCAGGGGCGGGGCTGCCTGGGCCCTCCGGCAGGGAGGAGAGGAGGCAGACATGCAGAAGCACTGACCAAGGCGGCAGGGGGTGGGAGGATGGTGGCTCTCTGAGGACGTCCTTGGATGTGACAGGACTGACAGCCTGGGTACATCCCACCCTTGCCTATCACAGGTCACAGGACAGCCCCCCCCCCATAAACACCAGTGCCTTTCTGGACTCATGGTACACCCCCCAGCACACGTACGCTGGTTGCATTAACACCCATGGCGTCCTGCTACAGCAACATCCCACTGTGTGCACCAAATGGAGCATCTGGCTAGAGTGCACAGCCCAGAGCGCTGAGTCACAGGGTGGAGCCCTCCCGTGTGAGCCTGCGGAGCCCAAGTTTACTTAGGACCTGCGGTCAGCAGCCCAGCGTAACCACCACGGGGCCAGGGCCCCATGAGTCTCTCAGGGGGCAGAGAGCCTCACCTTTCTCCTGGAGAGCGGCCGGTGGGTTTGAACGGCTGACCTGGTGGTCACAGTCCAACTCACCGGAACCCACTCTGCCACTGAGGCTTTCTTGCAGCTGCCAGCGCCAGGAGGGGTCTCACACGGAACCGGACCCCCCACAGCATTTGAGGGGATTCCGATTCACGGCCATCAGAACCGCACATTAACTGAACCAGACTCACTGCCAGTGGGCCCATGCAGCCCCGCCGGGCAGTAGAGCTGCCCCTGTGGGTGTCCCAGGCTGTGACCGGGAGTAGAAAGCCTCCTCTTGGAGCGGCCGGTGGTCTCAAACAGCAGATCTTACGGCTAGCAGCACAATGTGTAACCGCTCTGCCACCAGGGCGCCTATAGTCCTTATGCCACGCACTTAGGACGCTGCCCAGGGCAGCCAACACGCACAGATGTTTCCCGGCGTGTTCCGGTCAGCTGCAAAGTGGGGTCAGACAGGGCCATTTTCCTCCAAGCTTGCTGAGCAACACACCACCCACTGTCCCCTTCCCCCACCGTGACTCAATGCCCCTCTCCCCTTTCCCTCTTCTCCTCCCGAGCTTCCAGACCACCACAAACCCAGGCCACACCAGCCAGCCTACCGCCACCCTAACCTAACCTTGGATCCGTGATACACTCAGTGCCAACACCCCTCCCCGCAGATGGTCTTGGAGGCCAGCGCCAACCGTCTCTGAGCTGTTTGGCTATTCGATGTCTGGGAGCCAGAGGCCCGCCCAAGGGCAGGGGTGGGTGAGCCATTCAGGAAACAAAGATGGCCGCACCCTTGTCAAGAACAAGGGCCACACTGAGAAGCTAGCTAGGTGGCGGGGAGATGGCGTTCCTGCCAGGGAAGGAACAGGGGCCGGTGAGGGGCTGGTACCCCATGCCCTTCAACCACCTTTAGCTCACCAGCCCCTTTCCTGCTTCCAGGTGAGACCAAGCCTCTTCCCGGGCCACCTTTCCTGTCCTCTCTGCCTGGGTGTGGAAGGGACCCAGGTTTGCTGGAAGCGTCTGACATGTTGCATTGGTTACGTGTGGGGAGGGGCGGCTGCTTTGGGCAGTGCCCAGGGAAGAACTGTCTGGGGGGCCATGCCTGGCAGAGACCTGGGGGAGGGAGGGGTAGAGCAAGCAGGGGGAAGAGCATCCAGCAGGAACAGCAGGTGCAGAGGCACAGAGGCAGGAGCAGGCTCAGAGGGCGGAAGGACCCCGAGGAGGCCCTTGGCTGGAACCCCATTGGCAGGTGGGGTCTGGCGAGGGAGGAGGGCACACTTCATAGGCAAGTGAGGGCTTTGCACCTGATCCGTGAGAATCGAGGGGCTCTGGGACAAGGAGGGACACTGGAGGGACATGGGTCCTGGAACCCTAAAGCAGGCACTATACCCCCATTGAGAATAACCCTCAGGGGTCCTCCTTTGGGCCTAGGGGACATGTGCCCTTTGGGACATCTTCAGAGCCCTTGTCTAGCTGTTCTCTGATGCAGTGAGCTATAGGGAGAGGCCGCTTGTCTGTGAAAGCCCCAGATCCATTTGCAGGGTCCCCATGTGGACGAAGCTGCTGACCACTGACCAGGGAGGAGAATGGACTTGCTCTCGATCAGAGAGAGGACACCGGAATGTGGACTCATGAAGATGTAGCAGGCTGCCATCCCGCTCTGACGTGGTTGGACACCGCTGTGGCCCGTCCATTTATGGCCCACTAGGAGAGGACGTGGCCAGCGACTTACCAAGTAGACGTCGAACACCGAGGTGTTGTCGTCCTGAGCATCCGGAGCGTCTGGCTCGGGGGTCAGGTAGATGGTGCCCTCTTCCAAGGTGAACGTCGAGCTGGAAGGTAACCCTTTGCTGGGGAAATAGAGTGGTTGCCATGAGACACCGTCACTGAGACCCTCCCGGTTGTGGCCAAAGAGGCCGAGGCAGGGTGGCTTGGGGTAGACACTAACACATTTCGGAGGAGATACGGTCCCCCTTGCAGATGTGGTACCTGAATTAAAGACCCTGACTTTCATTGCCTCGAGTCAGAATCCATGGAAGCCCATCCTGGGGTTTTTGTCTGCTGAGATGGGATGTATGTGTGCCTTGCCCAGGAGCAGGGGCAGCTGTGGACCAACAGGCCGGCTGCACATCTCTGGATGTCCTTTCTGCGTGCGCACGTGCGCCAGCTTACAGACAGACGCGGGGATCAAGGTGTTTGCTGTTTGCTAAGGCACACAAGGGTGCTACATCTGAGGCCCTCAAACTTCAGTGTGCATCAGACCGATCGAGCGAGGGCCATGCAGAGATCACTGAAGATATGGGTGCTTTAGGGAAGTGTGGTGGGGAGACTAGATGATGCCCGGCAATCAGAAAGAATAGTGTCTGGGGTCTGAAGCCTTCTTTCTCTGAAGACAAGCAGGCGTCGGCCAAGTCCACATGGAAGCAGCACACAGCCCGTGTGACCCGAGGATTGAAAATTATAAAACCCAAGACTGGAAGAGGGAATGGTATTAGAGCTTGAATTTTGAGCACCCAGTTATAGGAAGGCCAGGGATGACCGTGAAAGCCCAGAATCCATTTGCAGGGTTACCACGTGGATGAAGCCACTGCCCACTGCCCACTGCCCATGTGGGTTTCCGAGACGGTAACTGTCCTGGGAGTAGCAAGCCCTAGTCTTTCTAGTTAAGTCATGTGGCTGTTTGGCTTTAAGGCGACTTTGGCAGATATTTTTGGCTTAAGGTTTAAAGGTTATCTGAGGGCAATCACTGTGGGGCTTCAGCCAGCGCCCGGTGCTCCAGAGAGTCTGGGTGGCTGCTTGCAACACCCATCGAGCTAGGGGACCGAGCGGAAGCGCCGGGGACCCTGTGAGGCAGACCAACTGGGATGCCTCATGAAACCAGGACCCTTAGCCTCCCAACAACTCCCTTATGATTTTAATTTTTTAAAATGGTTTCTATTTATCTCCTTCCCAAGAAAGGAAGAGGCAAGGGTATTCGAGAAGTGCTTTCTCTCTTAGTTCACGGCCCTACATGCATAGCGCGTAAAATAAAGCAGAAGTAGCCCTCCCCGGCCCCTATCCCTCTTTGACCCCAGCTCTCCTCTCTAAAGGGGCACGCTTTCCCCAGCGAGGCGGGAGCATCAGGCGAGGACGGAAAGGAAACACAGTCCCTGACGCTCAACCGCAACCGTTTCAGGAGCTAACTTGTGCCCAAGGACGGGGGCTACCGAGGGAAGATGCCCACGCCGCCTTGCGGGCTCCTTTGTGGAAAGCACCCTGGGGAGACTAAGCCTAGCCAATGACCGAGAGAGAGCTTGCCTGAGGCCACCTGTGGAGGGCAAAGGCAGGTTTAAACAGGTTTAGTTTGGAATAAACCTGTGCAGGTAGGAGCTGGAAGCTGAGGAGCAATCCTTTCCACCCATCCTGAGTCCCTCCTCCCCGGGGTGCGGGTAGGGGGGCTTTCCCTGGGCTGGCACAGCCTCCCCCCTAAATTCCCCCTTGCTTCCACTCCGGGCTGGGCTCTTTCCGAGTCTCTAACCTCTTCACAGGCTGCAGGCACGTGAGCAGCCGAGGGCTAAGTTACAAAACTGGTTTCTGACCACTTCCCTCTGCTAACCCAGCAAAGCCGGCTTTTGTCCGTGGGCAGATCGGAAACAATGTTTCACTTTCGCATTCTGTTGGGCTACTTTGAAGGGAAGGCTGATTGCTCCATTCGGTGGATAGCCACCCTCTGGGACAGGGGCGAACTGCCCTTGGGGGTTTCCCAGAAGGTGACTACTTCCCAGAAGGGAGTAGAAAGCCTCATCTTTCTCCTACAGAGTGCCTGGTGGTTCTGAACTGCTGACCTTGCTCTTTAAAGGCCCATTAGGAAAGGTTACACGTTAAGTTACGGAAGAGAACTGTGGCTCTTTCTTCCACAGGAAAGCTTCACGTGGCACATGAGCTATTACCCGGGCCTCAGAACACTTTGCAGGACTGCGCCTGAGCCCACCGCTTCTTAAAATAGCGATGATGTAATTGTTATAATCTGACCATGTTGAGACTTTGTCTCACGTACTTGGGACGTGTTCTCAGGAGGGACCAGTCCCTGGAGAAGGACTTTGTTGTGCTTGCTAGAGTAGAGGGGAAACAAAAAAGAGGGGGGGCCCCGGACGAGATGGAGGGACGCAGTAGCCGTGACAGCGGGCTCGACCCTAACAACTGTGAGGCTGGCGGGGCCCGGGTGGCGTTCTATTGTCGCACACAGAGCATGATGGGCTGAAACAGATGCCACGGCCCTCGATAACGCCTGTGGAGATCGAGACTGAAGAGATTCGACGCAGCCCAAACGCATCCAGAGAGACCGGGACCTTCTCTGGCTAGTGCAGCCCGACCCACGGCGGCCTGGTGTAGGTCAGGGCAGAGTGGGCTCCCTCAGTGTCCATCACCACGCCTTTCCTCTGCTGACCTCACACCCCCAGCTCTTGGATCAGGAGCCAAGTTCACTGGCCTCTTGTGCCATGTGGGACCGACAGAGAACCCTGGTCCCGGCAGAGGAGGGCTGGGAACAGACTTCCATGCTGATGTTCATTTCCCAGCTGCCGCCGCCGCCTTGTTTTCTTTCTGCGCTGTTCACGCTGACCTGGAATCGCCGTCTCATTTCTCTGGCCAAGTGCGTCCTGCCCCCATTTCCGGGCTCACTTCTAAGGTCCTGACTCTCCCCAGGGAGGGGGGCCACAGGCTCAGGGTCTGGAGGGCTTTTTTGGGAGCCTGGGTTGGCGAGCACCCTGCATCCCATGTGGCCTCGGCCCTCTGGACTCAGACTGTTGGGGGCCATTAGGCCTCCCTGGAAACAAGATGCCCAGGAAACTGTTAATCTCCCAAGACCTGCCGGAACCGGTCAGAGACTTCCCTGCTCCGACTCAGAGAGGCCTGGCAGGAATTTCTGAACTGTCATCTGTCACCTGGGGTCGCTATAAACAGGAAGGGGCTTGGTGAGCAGACCCACCAGCCACTCCACGGGAGAAAGACAGTCTCAGAAACGAGGGAGGTGTTCTACCCCATCCTGCAGTGTGGCCGGCAGTCGGAAACAACCCTGGGCAGTGGGTCAGTCAGGGGTGATGTTTCCGTAGCATTCCCACTCCCGGGGACCCGGCTGGACAAAGGCGGACTTGCTCCCTGAGGTTGCCGAGACTGTAGGATCAGACAGCCTCGTCTTTCTCCCAAGGAATGGTTGGTGGTTTTGAACGGCTGACCTTGCAGATAGCAGCCCAATGATTGACCACTATGTCCCTGGGGCCCCTTACTCCATTCACAGGAAAGTAAAACTGGCAAAAAAAAGTCTTCCTCTGAGCCAAGGGTAGAAGTGCCCACTTTTAAAGTTGTTTTTTCCCTTTAATCCCCCTTGTTAACCACTTCACTGACCACTGACAGTGGGTGGGGTCTTCTGATGCCCGTCCAGCACCTCCCAGTCATTTCCGGCTGACTTCCCCTGATGGTCACCGCCTTCCATTCCTCACCCACTGGGGCTTCTACGTGAAATGTAACTGCCAAGCCGTCTCCCACGTACCTCCTGCCACAGCCAAGGGCCCTCGGCGGGCAGGTGACAGGGACACTCTGGTGGCTGAGGGAGTTACCTGCTGGTGGACAGCACTGTCCTTTCCTGTGGAAAATGCTCATTGACGTACAAGGAGGAGGAGGAGATGGTCGTCGCCAAGGAGGACGCTTCGAACAGCGACGGGGTGCTGGGGACCAGGTCGGGGCGGCGCCGGGAGCCTAGGGCTGGTCGGAGGGGAGCAACACACGCCGGTCAGTCTCGGCCTGAGCACCGCTCAGCCCTCGATCACAGCCCAGGCCCCCAGTGTGTGCCACCTAGGCCGCAGAGTGAGCAGCGTGCTAGTTACACTTCTGAGCCGCCCAAGCTGGAATGGAAGAAAGTTTGTACACCGAGGACCGTGTACGCTGAGTCACACAGTGCCTACAGATGGGACCTCGCCAGGGCTCTCTAGAAACAAACCCCCAAACCCATCTAGCAGAGGAATTCGAAGGCCCTCTGTGGGGCTATCAGGTAAGCGGTAAGACCACGAATTGCACGGTCAGGGTTCAAATCCACTGGCTGCTCTGCAGGAGCAAGATGAGGCCATCTGCTCCTATAAAGATTCAGAGCCTCTGAGGCCCTAGTTGTGGTTGTGAGGTGCTCTCTAGTGGACCCTGACCCATAGCAACCTCATGGACGACAGACCAAGACTCTGCCCGGTCAGGCTCCATCCACACAACTGCCCCCAAGCTCGGGCTCCTTATTGGAGCCGCGGTGCCAGTCTATCTCCTGGAGGCCCTTCTACTGCTGCCCTCTCCTTCGTCAATCAGAGGGCTTGTCCCTCTCCAGGGGCTGGTCTCTCCCGACAACATGTTCAAAGTATGTACAAGGCGGAGTCTCGCCACCCCTGCCGCTAAGGCGTGCTCTGACTGGACTTCTCCTAAGACAGATCTTTCTGTTGATCCTTTCAGCAGTGCGTGCTACTCTCAGGATTCTTTTCCAGCCTCACAATCCAAATGCATCGATGATTCTACGGTTTCCTTATTCAGCGTCCCACTTTCACATGCATACGAGGCCATTGAAAAAAGAAAACCACGGCTCGGGTCAGGGGCACCTCAGTCCATGCTGTTTGACACCTTAAAGAGGTCTTGTGCACCAGATTCACCCAGTGCCAGGCGCCCCTTGTTGGATCTCTTGACACCGCTTCCACGAGCAGTGATTGTGGATGCAAGCAAGACACCATCCTCGACAACTTCTCCATCCATCACAATGTCACCAGTTGGTCCAGATGGGAGGACGCTGGTCTTCCTGACAGTGAGCTGTGGTCCGCGCGGAAGGCTCCGGTCCTTGGTCTTCATCAGCAAGGGCTTCAAGTCCTCCTCACTTCCAGCAAGCCAGGCTGTGTCCTCTGCATAACGCAGGCTCAGAAGCCTTCCTCCAGCCCCGATGCCGCACTCTTCTTCACAGACCCCGGCCTCTCTGATGAGCTGCTCAGCACACAGATGGAAGAGTAGGGTGAGAGGACACAACCCCGATGCACACCTTCCCTGACTCTGCACCACACAGCATCCCCTTGTTCTGGTCACACAACTGCCTCGTGACCCACGTACAAGCTCCTCATGAGCACGATGAAGTGTTCTGGAATCCCCATTCTTATCTAAGTTATCCTGTTTACTGTGGTCCCCATGGTCAAATGCCTTTGCTTAGTCAATGAAACACAGGTAAGTGTCTTTCTGGTGTTCTCCGCTTTGCGCCAAGCCCCCTCTGATATCAGCATGGATGCCCCGTGTTCCACGCCCTCTTCTGAATCCGGCCTGTTCTGGCGGCTCCCTGTCGAGGTGCTGCTGCAGCCGTGGGCGGGTGGTCTTCAGCAAGCCTCAAGAGGGCTGCTGTGAGTCAGGATTGACCGGATGGCGGCGGCAGGACACAGCATGACTGACCATTCAGAAGATGATGAGATCGCTCCCAGGGAATCCTGGGGCTCAGATGGAAAGGATTGCTGGCCTGGGAGGGAACCAGGGGCCCCTCTCTTCTCCTGACGATGACACGCATGCGTCTCTGGTTTCCCAGTTTGGATGCAAGAACCCAGATGCTTTAAGGGCCAGTGACTTGGCGAGGGTGGGGGCTCTTGAAAGATAAAGTCCCGCAGGTGTGGAAGGACCGAGGGGCCCACCCGGCAGTAAGTCTTGGCCCCACGGAGAATGGTGAGCATCAGCTCATCTTGACGTGCAGTGGGAGAGCCTCTCTCAAAGCTGGCATCCAGTGGCTGTTCTTCAGCCATCAGAGCAGCCCACTGCTCCGCGGGAGACCAGTCTAATTCATGCTTTAGGAGCCACATGCTCAGAGATTTTTAGGTGCTGCTGGGTCACTGTTGGACTGCCGGCTCTGAGGTTGGTGGTTCAGCCCCAACAGCTGTGTCTTGGGAGAGAGGGGGCTATCTGCTCGGGTGAAGATTTCCAGCCTTGGGAACCCTACAGAGGGCCTGCCAGAAGACAGAGAACTCAGTCTGGGAAGAAGTCCAGCCGGAAGGTTCCTTAGAAGCGAGGCTTGGTCTCCCGTACTTTGGAGATGAAGAGAGACCAGTCCCTGGAAAGGAGCACCATGCTGGTCAACCAGAAGGCCAGCGAAGAGGAGGAGCACCTGGAGGGGCATGGAGGGCACCGTGGCTCACACATCACACGGCCAGCGATGCGGGTCTGGGTGGGTCCACTCTGTTGTGCGCAGGGTCACCGTGAGCCAGAACGGAACCTTTGCAAGAATTCCAAAACCCAAACCCACTGCCGTGGAGGCAGCCCTGACCCACAGCGACCCTCTAGCACACAGGAGAGCGGCCCGGAGGGTCTCTGGGGCTCCCACGGAAGACGGTGGCTCTGAGTTTCTCCCTGGAGCAGCTGGAGAATTCCAGCTGCCAGCCCTTACATAGCATTCCTGGCGCTTAGCCTTTTGCACCAGGACCAGGCTCTGCCCAAAGAACGGAGCAGCAGTAAAAAAGCCTCAACTGTCACCTCTCCCTTATCCGATGAAACTCAAAGCACCAGACCAGACCATCCGTCATGGATCCGATGCTCACACACGGTGATCCAACAAGACGGGGACTGCTCCCATGGGATTCCGCGATTGTCACTCTAAAGGGGCAGACGGCCTCATTGTTTACCTGAGGGGTGGCTGCTGGCTTCAAACTGTGGACCTTGCAGTTAGCAGCAGCCCCACCCCCCACCCCCCCAAACACACACAATGGACTCCTTCATCAGGGACTCCTTTAAGAAGCAGACTGGGCAGCGTCCCTCCTACTTGTTGTCCTGCTGAGTGGCCCAGCTGGGGGTAAGGGAGAGAGCCAATAGGTCAGCCGGCATGGGAAAAATACATGAGCATCCAGTAGGTTTGAACTACCAACCTTGCAATTAGCAGCTCACACGTAACCACTAGGCCACCCCGATAGCTAATAAGTCAAGTCTAGGCAGTAGCCAAGGACAACCAGAAAACCCCAATCCTTAAAAAAAGATACTATTTGAAAAGGCCAATGGATGGATTGTGTCGTTATAATGCTAAGAGAGCTTCAGGGGGAGCTTCCAGAGGAAGGCTAGGAAGACAGGCCTGGCCACTGGCTTATGAGAATCAACCAATTAAAGACAACCCTCTTATCCCAGGGGGATCCAACCCAGCATCGTGTTCCTTTGTGCATGTTGGGGCGGGTGGTGGGGTGGTGGGGTGTCACTGCGACTACATGACCGCTAATAACTCCAACAACACTTCCGTATCCACCCAGGGAACCAACCCACCCAGCAGGGAGGAAAGGATCAAATTCCATGGAAACTCCCCAGCCAGCGAGAGAACTCCTGGTTACACGGCCCGTCCATGTGCACACAGGCGTGCATGCACCTGTGCGTGTGTACCCTGACACGCACAGACCAGGTCTCAGTGCAAAAACTGTGCCCCGTGTCTGACCTTGGGTGCTTTTCTGCTGGCTGTGTTTTCTGTGGCCACCGGCACTCGCGCACACGCCGCCAGAGGGCTTCCCCTTCTGCGCGGCGTCTCTCTCACCTTCTTCATCGAGGCTGCTGAAGCTCTGCCCTTCGCTCAGTAGGTCCCGCCTCCTGTCCTTCCACTCCTGGCTGAAGGAGGACACGATCTCCTGGGAGGCTGCCTTCAGGGCGGCGATGGAGTTGCACCGTTTCTTGGACGGGGAGGCCTTCACAGCTGGACCAGCAGGAAAGGGAGACAGAGATGCTGCTGTGAGACCACGCCCCTACCTTCTCTGGGTGCAAACACCCAGTCACTCGCCGTCCCCAGCACCCGCTATGTGTGCATCGGCGCCTGCTCAGCACCCTTCTCTGAGCTGCTCCACCACTCACCACCCCAGGTGGCTCACCAAACCTCTCCAGTTGCTGTGGTCGGCTACATCCCACACAGATAGTTCCTTGAAGAGCACACTGCTCCAGGCAGGCAGACTTGATGAACTACTAGGGCAGCCGAGTGGGTTACAGATTGAGCTGGTGACCGCCAGGTTGGTGGTTCAAAGCTACCAGCCGCTGCACGGGAGAAACATGAGGCTGTTGCCTCTTGTAAAGTCTTACAGTCTCGGAAACCCAAAGGGGCAGTTTGCGTCTGTCCGAGAGGGTCACTGTGGGGTGGTGGGCTTCACTATTGGTTCCAGTAAGACTTCAGGGGCTTGGTTTTGGTTCCTGGTGGGGTGGGGAACACCCAGTGGAGAGCATCAACACCAGCTCACGTCCCACGCTTCGCCACAGAGAAGCAGTTCCAGCCATCGCTGGGGCAGTGATATCATCTCCTGTCAACTTGAGGTAGCGATGGAGTCTAGCTTGTCAACCTGGTCACAGCTTGATGACCTCATTTAGAGGCTCAATGGAGATAAATAGCTCACTGGAAGCCAGACACACACTCTCTCTGCTTCGTCTCCCTGAGAGACATTCCTGTTGACAAGCCACATGGAGCTTTGCTGATAGAGCCAGAGCCTTGGAGCAGCAAGAACCACGTGGTGACTCACACCAGCTCTGAGATGCTTCCACCACCACTAGATCCACAAGACCTTCCACCCACTGGCCTGTGATCTTCATTAATTAGGTTTTATTGCATCTGTTGTGAGTCTGAAGAGGAATTTATAGACTACCATTGGACATATGGGCTAATATCAGACTCATGGACTTGATCTGTGCTGGGATGTTTCGTAATATACAATTGCCCTTTGATATTAAGCTCTTTCTTATACACATGTGTGTATCTGGTTTGTTTCTGTAGTTGACCCAGCCTAACACAGTCACCTAAGCGATGGGTTAATTCAATGTTGCACCAAAGATAGCCGGTGAGCTTTTCAGCTGATAATTTTGTGGGCCTGTGAATGATGTTTCTGATATCCCGGCAGTGCCCCAGTGAAGGTGACAGCCCCGGAAACCCTATGGGGGCGCTCCCCTCAGTTGCTTGGGGCCCCTGAGGGCACTCACCAGCCACAGAGAAGACAGGGTGGGAGCAGGCTTCAAGGCAGCGGCGGGGGCAGGGCCCACGCAGAAGGCTAGAGGGCTGACTCCCAGGGGAGTTCAGAAGCCGAGCTGGGACGCAGCACGATGGGACGGGACGCCCTTTACTGTCCTAGTACATCTAGTGGGCGCTGTCTGTTGGCTGGGAAGGGTGTTCACGGCAGACTGCGGCTGTGGCTGGAGGTGCTGTGGAGCCGGAGCTGACTCTCAGTGACCCCATGTACGGCAGAAGGGACCAGCCATCGCCACCAGGGCCATGCATGTGCCCACTGTCCCAGCGACTGTGTCCGTCCCCCTAGGGGTCCGTGCTGGCTCATAGCCACCCTGTTGCATGGGGCAGAGCTGCCCCTTTGGGTACCCGAGACCCCAACTCTTGAGGGCAGTAGGAAGCCTCATCTTTTTCTCTTGAAGGGACTGGCGGCTTCAAACTGCTGACCTTGTGGCTCGCAGCCCGACGCGTGGCCACTGTCCACCAGGGCTCCTTCTGTCTGCCCACAGCCATGCCTGACTTGGGCTTACGTTCTCCCTCCGGCTGCAGGCTGGGAACGATGCGGGGGTGGGGGTGGATGGAAGACACAGCACTGCCCGGGGCTCCCAGGTGTCTGCAGCAGCACCACAGACACGACGGCCCAGTCTCAGAGCGCGGACAAGGACACAGAGGTCCCAGGCAGTGGATGCCGCAGGGCACCAGCACGCTTGACTTGGGGACGCTGAGTGGACGGCAGTGGTCTTGCGGGGGCAGTTGGAGGTCAGTCGCACACTCACTGCGTGCCGGCCTTCAACCTTCCTTCGACGGTGTTTGTGAGGATGCTGGACACCCGTGAAGCGCCGGGGGACAGTGAGGTGACCAGGTACTGGCCCATTCCCGTGAACCGTCTGAAGTGCCCTCACATGGACAGGTGTGCACCGCAGACCATTTCAGCCAGCTGCGCCCTCAACCTTTAGACAATGGTACTCCCACATACCCAACCAGGATTCTGTATGTCCCCTGAGACAGTGGTACTCCCACATACCCAACCAGGATTCGGTATGTCTGGACATTCAGACGGTCTCTAATTTTCCTTCCCCGTGCTGAACAGGGGCCTAAGGAACAGAGCACCCATCAATTTTCAGCCAGACTTGCTTAGCTGTAATCGCAAGTAAGTATCACCCTGGGGAAATAAATAGTTCCAACTTTTACAGTTAGGAAAAAAAACACCTCGCCAAGCTGCCGGTAGAAAGCTCGGCAGTGAAGTGTCATGACAAAGTAGCATTGCTGAAAAACAGAACGAGGCTGTGGGGCGACTGTAGCTATGTACAGCCATTATGGAAATCAATCTGGCGATTTCTAAAACAGACCCTACCATATGGCCCAGCAATCCCCCTACTGGGCATCTGCCCAAAGAAGTGGTGGTGGGGTGTCACTGCGACTACATGACCGCTAATAACCCCAACAACACTTCCGTATCCACCCAGGGAACCAACCCACCCAGCAGGGAGGAAAGGATCAAATTCCATGGAAACTCCCCAGCCAGCGAGAGAACTCCTGGTTACACGGCCCGTCCATGTGCACACAGGCATGCATGCACCTGTGCGTGTGTACCCTGACACGCACAGACCAGGTCTCAG